GAGATAAGTTCTTCAAAAAGATAAAACAGTTATAAACATGTATGCATGTAACAAAAAAGCTTCAAAATACATAAGGGAAAACATAATAGAGCTAAAAAAAAAGAAGAAAAAATAAACAAGTCCACTGTTATAGGTAGATAATTCAATATTTTTTCTCAGTAAATTGATAAAAATAGAAAGTCATTGATGATATAAAAAATCTTGGCTGGTATAGTGGCATATGCCTGTAATCCCAGTGGCTTGGAGACTGAGGCAGGAGGATCAAGAGTTCAAAAGAAGCTTCAGTAACATAGTGAGGCCCTAAGCAACTCAGCAAGACCCAGTCTCTAAATAAAAATTTTTAAAAGGGCTGAGGATGTGGCTCAGTGGTTAAGCACCCCTGGGTTCAATTCCTGGCACACACACACACACACACAAAAAAAAAAAATCCTGTCCACCAACTAGGTCAAACTGATATTTACAGGACACTCTATCCAATAACAGTATAAGGCACTCTCTTTTCAAGTGCACTTGGAACGTCTGTTAATTAAGATAGACTACATTTTGGACCTAAAACAAACCTCAATGACTTTAAAAGAAACCATATAAGCATGGAATCAGACCACAACAGAATAAACTAGATATCAATAACAGAAAGATTTCTAGGAAATTCCCAAGTATTTGGAAATCAAACAACACATTTCTTAAATAACCCATGGGTCAGAGAGTACTCAAGGGAAAATTTTAAATATCTTGAACTGCACTGAATGAAAATAAAAGTACAGTCTATCAAAAATTTGTGGGATGCTGTCACAGCAGTGCTTAGCAGGATGGTGAAGAATTCAGTGGGGCCCTGCATAGTGTTGCACGCCTATAATCCCAGTGTCTCTGGAGCCTGAAGCAGGAAGATCAAGAGTTCAAAGCCAGACTCAACAATTTAGCAAGGCCTTAAGCAATTCAGTGAGACCCTGTCTCAAAAAAAAAAAAAAAAAAAAAAAAAAAAAAGGACTAGGGATGTGGTTCAGTGGTTAAGCACCCTGGGTTTAATCCCTGACACTCCCTGTCCCTCCCAAATAAAAACACCCAGTGGCACTAAGTAGAGGCTGGGGAAAGGTTTCACTACAGGCCACAAGGCAATTCTTGGGGTGGCCCCATATTGGTGGATACATACCTATGCATTTGTGAAAATCTATAGCATATATATTACTAAAGGGAGTTTCACCATCTGCAAAGGGGAAAAAAATCAATCAGAATGTCAGGGGGACCCAGGGTAGAGTGGACACTATGACAAATGAAGGGCATAGCTACTCTGAAGGGAGTGCAGGAGAAGGCATCCAACCAAGTAACTTGAAAAAACAGTTACTAATTAAGGACCAGAAAAATTGTCTAGAAACACTGCACTCAAGCAAATTTGTTTCTCATGGGTGTGGATTAGCAATTCTGAAATTCCATTGCACAAATGAGAAAATATTTATAATGAAAGCCACCTTTCCCTAGAGAAAGAAGTTAAAAACATATCAGACAGTACACAGGCTTTCTGTCTCCTTGTGCTTAGCCTTGTTGTTGCATCAATAGTTTATTCTTTTTGTTGCCGAAAGGGTTTCCATTGTGTGGCTGCATGGGTTTGTTTATCCAATCAACCTGCCGAAAGACATCTGGATTGTTTCCAGTTGGGGTGATAAAGCTGCTACAAACATTTCATTGTAAACATGCATGGAATTTACCCTAGTCCCATCCTTTTCAGCTTAACATTATACCTGGCCCCTAGAAAAACAAATCCAAATATTCATCTGGGTTGAAGAAAGAGAGTTAATTATATTTTATAAAAAAAAATGGAACTATGGAATGTAAAATTTTTAAAAAAGTCAGATGTTTAGACATTTTATTCTTAGAAGAAAGGAGTTATATGGAAACTTCTCATTTTTTGCCTTCCACTCCTGTATGTCCAAAGTTGAAGGCAGATTATACTTTAGGGTCCATCACATCTTAACTAAAAAAAGCACTCATGCTACTTTTCTTCCAACCTTGGCCACGTGGAAAACTAAATCTTATGTGCTATATGACCCCACAAAACAGGATGAGTAAAACTGTACTAAGTGGCCTCTCGTCCCAGGGAGGTGAACAGAGTTCTATCACTGGACTTAATTATGTTTGCTTTTACTACACTTTCCACTAAATGTAAGCTTGCATTTACAGGGTTTGCTGCTCATCATCTGGTTTCCTCCATAGAAGAATGGAAAAGTTTAAAAATAGCAAATGTTCCAAGACTTTTTAAAAAGTCAACAACAGTGTCTTTCTCCAGGATGAAAACCCCTCCTCTTATTCAAAAATGTGGATTTACATGGGTAAAAAAAATGTATATTTTTACATAAATTTATTCAGATATGAATCAATTTTTATATCTTATCTTTATGCTTCTTTATCACATCAAAGAGCTAACTGCAAAACAGGAACTTTGTTTCTGTCCAGGAAATCTATGTCACAAGATGAATAAGAATTTAGAGCTGGGCATGGTAGCGCATGCCTGTAATCCCAATGGTTTGGGAGGCTGAGGCAGGAGGATCATGATTCAAAGCCAGTCTCAGCAACTTAGCAAGACCCTAAGCAACTTAGTGAGACCCTGTCTCTACATTTTTTTTTTTTAAATAAGGGCTGGGGATGTAGCTCAGTGGTTAAGTGCCCCTGGTTCAAGCTCAGTGCTTAAGCATCCCTGGGTTCAATCCCTGCTTTAAAAAGAGAGAGAGAGAGAGAGGTACCTTTTTAACATCTCTTTCTTTTCAAATTACAACAAATATTTGGAAGTTATTGCTGAGGTCTCAAATGTGCTTATCAAATGTGCCAAAACTGGAAGGTATTTTTAAAAAACCCTGAAGTCATCTTAACTTGCCATTTGTTTAGTCTTCTTGTTTGGAGCAAAAGGCAAAGAATTCACAAATGCTACATCTTAAGCACCTGTTTCAATTTAAACATCAGCCTTTAGCTGGCAAAATAATTTCTTGATAATTAAGCAAATTGTAGCAGAAGACCCATCTCAGTTGATTTTTTACTTCCTGGAAAAGTCAGCAGGATAACTGTATACTAAGGGTTTCTTTCTGTGTTGAATCTGAAAGGTGGAACAAAAGAAAAAGCAGTCTTTTCCATTCTAAACCGTGGAGATCATGTAAAGAAAGATATCTGTTTTTTTAAATATTTTTTTAGTTGTAGATGGACACATTATCATAATTTATTTTTATGTGGTGCTGAGGATCGAACCCAGTGCCTCACACGTGCAAAGCAAGCGCTCTACCACTGAGCTACAGCCCCAATTCCAAGATATCTGTATTTTAACAGGGAAAGTGGATGAATAAAAGAAGCAGGGCTACCTGCTATAGAAGACTACATAGAAATATGTGCCATGTCCTGAATTTTGTTTTGAGATAAATGTAAAAGCACCTAAATGTCAAGAAAATGTTCTTCCTGTGCGATAAGGATCCTCCCATGGTCCAACAGATACAATCATTCTCTCACAGGCCCACTCCAGGCCCAGAGGACAGACAGACAGACAGACAGACAGACAGAGGTTCAAGCACACCTCATTCCCACATCTTCACTTCTTCCAACATATCAGCTTATTAATGACCTTTGCTGTGGTATCATAATTCCGTTTCTAGGGAAATGCAAACCACAGGATGTGGTCTCTGAACCCATCCTTAGAGAATATTACCATGGAGGATATTTTTCCCACATAGTAAACAAAAGAAAATGAGGATAGTGATCTCGGAAGTTGTGTCACTGACCAGGGAGCTGTAATAGGCTCCGGCAGGGTGTAACCTAGATGACTAGATGACCAGGGGAGACAGTGGCCACATTGCGTGGGGAGACCTCAGCCCTCTCCCTGATTCTGCAATGAAATAATAAATCATCAGGCTTTGTCCTTCACTTATATTTGTTGTCAAACTGGTTTTCTACACTGATCACATTTGACTTTGATGGTGATACATTATAAGTGCTGGAATTTTATCCCAATTAAAAGATGATTTCTGCCAGGCGTGGTGACACGCCTGTAATCCCAGTGCCTTGGGGGGAGGCTGAGGCAGGAGGATCAAATAAATAAATAAAATACAAAATAGATCTGGGGATGTGGTTTAGTGGTTGAGTGCCCGAGTTCAATCCCCAGTACACTCCCCCCACCACCACCAAAAAAAAAAAAGTAGAATAAGATTTCTCCTTGAAATGGCTTTGATCAGTGATCCACCTGCTTGGTTCTTTGCCCTTGATGTAGCTGCTCCAGGATTTGGGCTCTTCCTCTTGCTCAGTGGAGGTGGGGAGGCACTGTCATTCTCAGAGAGGAGGATCTGCTTGTTGATCCAGAAGAGCGGCTCATGGGTGCTATTCCTCCTGTGAGATGCTGGTCCAAAGCCTGCCTCCGGGTAAGAAACTAATTACTTCTCCTGTTCCTGCAGTTTGGCCTCCTAAGGGAATGAACCCTGCAGCAGTAACCAGCCAGCCATAACAGCGCACAGAACAAGTTTCAGCTGCCCTGCAACCCCTAGAAGCAGAAAAGGCCCTCAAACCCAGGGAGTGGAGGACCCCATCATGCAGAGCTCTGGAAGACTGGAGTTTGAATAGATGAGCAGCCCTTAACATTATTTGCGATGTGTTGCACTAAAACAAGGGAGAGCTGGCGCCAGGAGCAGTGGCACGTGACTCAGCAACTTAGCAAGGCCCTAAGCAACTTAGTGACACCCTGTCTCTAAAGGAAATATTTTTAAAAAGAGCCGGGGATGTTGCTCAGTGGTTAAACACTCCTGGGTTCAATCCTCAGGACCAAAAAATAAAATTCCCTGGTACCAAAAATAAATAAATAAATAAATAATAAAGTAAAATGTAGAGTGAGGGATGGTTGGGTTAGGTGTGTGGCTTTGTGGTAGAGTGCTTGCCTACAATGTTTGAGATCCTGGGTTGGATCTCCCCTGCTAAAAAAAAAAAAAAGCAAAGAAAAAAAAAATAGGGATGGTCGAAAAGCAAGGTTGTTTCCTCTTGGCAGCAGAAGGAGCTCTTGCTTCCTGCCTCTTTCACTCCCTTCTCAGCAAGTTCTGGGAGAGCCACATCCTGGGGTCCAGGAAAGGGCTGGGGGTTGGTAGGGCATCAGTAAGACCCAGCAACAGTCTAGAGGAAAAGGGAGGTTCCTCTGCATTTCCCTTTCCTGCAGGCCTGCTGGTTTTTCATGATGTCATCCATTCATCATTGTGAGCTGATTGGCCAGCCCGGGGCTTGGCCAGCTGCCCAAGGCCAGAAGGGAAGAGCGAGATCCCAGGACAAATGTGCAGCCGGCCCCTGAGCATGTGTAGAAATGTTGACATCAGTTCCACATAGAAAGACTTGGTGGAAATCAAAGAAGACAGTACAAGTCACAAGATCTTTTCCAACCTTCCCTTCCCAGAATGCCTGGGAAGAATTCAGGGGCCTCTTGCCTGTGGATGAGGAACCGAGCCCTGGAGTAGGCCTGGGTGTAGAGGAGGGACTGCTCTGCCAGATGGTTCGTTCTCCAGAGTTCAACCTGTTTCCTGACTCAATGGTGTTTGAAAGCAACTTTGTCCAGGTATTCTTGGGTGACTCAGAATAGTACTCCTTGATTAAAAGAAAAGAAAACCTGTTCCCAAGATGTGAGCAGGACAATCATTCCTGGAACTAGAGTGGAGTGAGAACTGAGGCAAGGAGAATCTGGGGGCCTGGAATACAAAACCAGTCCCCCTGACCAGGGCTTCTCCTGTAGCCATGGACACCTGGGAAGAGTGGAGGACTTGAGATGTGAAGCCCCAAATTATGTCATCCTCCAGGCTTTTGCCCAAAGTCAGGTGGACACGGAGGCAGGAAAAGGAGATGGTCTTTGAGGGTTCAGGACAGAAATGATGGTGGGAGAAAGAATAGGAGCTGGGGGCCCAGAAAGCCTGGGCTCAGATTCCAATTCTCTGCTTTATCATGGGGGAGGTGTCACTGGGCACAAAACCTGCACATCCTTATTCCACTTGCTGTAACGTAAGAGGGTTGGACTGATCTGAAGATTAAATGTAGATGCAGCAAGCAAGGCACCTGGTGGAACAGGCACTCAAGGTATCCCCTTGGGCCAGACAGAATCTTGAAAAACTAGACTGTGAAGCTGGAAGGGAAATTCCCAGCCAATAAAGGTGCAGGAGATTATATAGCCCCTCCAAGGAGGGCCAGGAGGATGAGTTTCTCAGAGGAAAGGCAGGAAATAGACCAGGGTGGGATTCATGGAAATGTGATAGATGCCTAGGTTATAGTTCTTGTGGACAGTTGTTAATAGCAGGTCATTTAGACACTAGTATAAGTTTGTGGGGATTTTTTGGTGACGTTTGTTCTTTTTCTTTTTTTTAACCAATATAAGTTAGAACACTTATTCTCAACAAGCCACGATATTGTGCTCCTTTACCGGGGGACATTTGGCAATATCTGAAGACATTTTTGGTTCTCACAATTTGAGTGAGTGGTTGCTAGTAGCATCTGGGGGCAGAAGTCAAAAATTCTGATAAACAATCTACAGTGTACAGTACAGCCTCTCTCTCAAACAAAGAATCATCTTAATAGTGCCGAGTTGAGAAACCCTGGGCTAAAATATACTGCTACTTCTGCCAAATACTCAGGCTGTGACTGGGGGCTGCATTGCAGGTCAAAAGGGGCCGAAACTGGATAGACATCAACAAAGCCTCCAACACCGTGGCCCTTGGGGTGACCTCCTCCGTGCCTTGCCTGCCCCTTCCCAACGTCCTCCTCATGGCCAGAGTCAAATGGCATCCGGGGCAGAGCCAGACATGGAACAGACCATCTAAAGCTCCAAAGATTATCCTGAGGAGGTAAGCAATGCAGGTGGGAATCAGGGACAAGACAGTGACAAGGGGACCCAAGGTGGTGACCAAAGAAAGCAGACACAGTGGTGATGTGACCTTTTTTAGACAGCAATAACCCCAGATAGGTAGTAAAATGGAAGGCCATGTGAGATAAGGGAGGGGTGGTGTGGACAGGAGGAGGGGCCAGTCTACAAGCCCACTCCCTTCTTGCTGCACTCACTCCCACTCCCGACTTCAGAGGAGCCCTCCCAGTCTGTGGCTGAGGAGCGAGGAGGCAATGAGGTCTGACAGATGGAGTGCTGGTTGGGAGAGGCCAGTTCTTTCCAGTCTTTAATATACAAGTAGCTAGACTTAAAATTAGTTTGAAGCACAGGTCACCTACTGCATCTCAGTTTTCCCATCTATAAGATGCCTGGGACTGGGTCCCATTCAGAATTTAACATATGGTCACATTGCATTTGTCTGGAATAAAGCAGACCTTTAAACCTCTTGAATCTCTAGATAGTCCCAGAGTTCCAAGAAACCCCTTCATTTCTCCATACTACTACATGGCAGGCCTCTCTGCTATGTTATTGGTGTACCTATAACAAGTACAACCCAGGCCCAGCTAACTTAACATTAGACCCAAGGCCAAAACCTTGAACTTCAGCACCTTTGGGAAGAGTTATGGAGGCACTAAGGTCAATGAATGGACAAATTGGACACATGGACTTCTTCCTGTCAAGACAAAATTTGCAAAAACCCATAATCCCAGCCATCCCACTCCTAGGCTGTGTGTCTCAAGCTAGATCTAAAGAATATCAGCATGAAAATTATGGCAGGGAGGGTGGAGATTAAAATGCAGATTCCAGGGCCACAGTCCAGACCTAGAGAATCTGAATCTTTGGGGATATCTGCAGGCATCTGTGTTTTAAGTAAGCTCCTCTGTGTGTCTGGTCTCCACAAAGTTTGAGCAGAACTATGTTAAGTGTTCTCTCTCCTACCCCTAAAAGCTTCCATCCACAAAGAGACACCCCTTATTTTAGTGAAGATAGGGTCACATCAGAAGCAATGGGGTTGTCAGTGTCTTCCCCTGTGCCCTCAGGATTCTCCCATTGAGATTTGTGGAGCTCCAGGTCTGTGACCGCCTTCAACGCATCCTGCGGTTGAGAACAGTCACTGAGAAGATCTACTACCTAAAACTCCACCCTGACCATCCAAAGACTGTCTTCCACTTCTGGATCCGACTGATTCAAATTCTGCAGACGGGCCTGTCCATCACCACCAAAGACCCTAGGATTCTTGTCACTCACTGCCTGGTACCCAAGAATTGCCATAGCCCATCTGGAAACTCTAAGGTAAGGGAAGGGATCACCGTCACCAGCCTTCAGAGGCAGAGCTTAGACTAGTTGTTGGTGAGCATTCTGGGTAGGCAATTCCAGCTTTAGGCCTTTTACAGAGAGTTTTATTCATTTACCATTTATAACCATAAAATTCACCCATTGTAAGTATACTGTATACTTTTTTATCCTGTTTTCTTCAACAGTTTTGGTAAATTTATAATTTTGCAATTGTTAATCGTCAACACAATCCAGTTTTAGAACATTTCTATCACCTTAAAAAAGCCCCTGTTGCCCGTTTGCAGTCATTCCCTGTTTCAACACCTAGCTCTAGGGAACCACTGATTTGTTTTCAATCTCTGTAAAGTCATCTTTCTTAGGATTTTATATACATGGAATCCTGTAATATATAGTTTTTGTGTATGACTTTCATCTAGCACAGTTCATCCATATGACAGCATGGAACCAGTTCTGGGGCAAAGTCACTGACTATCAGTAGTTAATTCGTTTTCATTGCTGAGTAGTATTCCATTTTGTTCATCCATTCATGAATTGATGGACGTTTAGATTGTTCCAGTTTGGGGCTCTAATGAATTCTGCTGCTTTGTACATTTGTGTACAGACTATTGTATAGTTGTGTTTTCATTTGTCTTCAGTAGATTCCAAATAATAACGTTGATGAGTTTTATGGAAAGTTTATGTTTAACTTTTTTTTTTTTTTTTTTTTTTTTTTGTGGTACTGGGGATTGAACCCAGGACCTTGTGCATGTGAGGCAAGCCCTCTACCAACTGAGCTATATCCCCAGCCCCTATGTTTGACTTTTAAAGAAACTGAAAACCTGTTTTACCAAAGTGACCATTTTACATTCCAACAATTTGTGAGGTTTTAAGTTTCTCCACATTCTAACACCAGCATTGTTCATCTTTTTGATTATAGTCAGTCTTGCAGATATGTGTTGGTTATAATTTGGATTTCCCTAGTGACTCAGGATGTTGAGCACCTTTTCCTAGGCTTTTTAGTTTTTCATACATCATCTTTGGTGAAATGTCTATTCAAATATTTCACCAATTTTTAAAGTGAGTTTCATCTTCCTACTGAGTGTGAGAATTCTTCAAATACTCTGGATACAAATCCTTCATATAATCTGCAAATATTTTCTCTCACTCTGTGACTTGTCTTTATTTTCTCTTCTTTTTCACTGTCTCATTCCTTCCTTCCTCCTTTCTTTTCTTTTTTCTTATCTTCAGTGCTAGGGATTGAACCTAGGGTCTTGCACTTGCATGCATCTACCACGAGTCCCAGCCCTGGTTTCATGCTCTTTTTTTAAAAAAAAATATTGTTAGTTGTAGATGGACACAATACCTTTATTGTATTTATTTATGTGGTGCTAAGGATCGAACCCAGTGCTTCACACCTGCTAGGCAAGTGCTCTACCACTGAGCCCCAGCCCTGGTTTCATGCTCTTAATGACATCTTTTGAAGAACGAAAATGTTTGATTCTGATCAAGTGCAGTTGGTCAACTTTTTGTGGATCAGGCTTTGGTTCTGTATCTAGCTCTTTGTTCAACCTAAACCCACAAATCTTTTATCCTATTTTCTTCTAGAAGTTTTGTAAATTCAGCTGGTATACTTAGGTTTGTGATCCATTTTGAATTAATATTTGTGTGTGGCATGAGGTAAGGGACTAAATTCTTTCTTCTTTTCATTTTTTTGTTTGTTTTTGCATGTGGATATACAATTGGGTCCCCATCATTTGTAGAAAAGATTATAATTTCCCCAGAATTGCCTTGACATCATTGTAAAAAATCAATTGATCCCAATAAAAAATGGGAAAGGAAAAAAAGAAAACTCAATTGATCATAAAATTTAAGGATTTATTTCTGGATTCTCACTGATTCATACAAATCTACAAAAGTCATTTATGTTACCCAGATATTGCTACTTTAACCTGTAAAATACATACACTGATGTTATCTGCAAACAAGATAGATATATTTGCAATCTGGATTTATTCATTTATTTATTGCCTTATTGCAGCTGCTAGAAATTCAGTATGATGTTCAATAGAAGAAGCAAAGCAAGTGTCTTTGCTGTGTTCCCAGTCTTAGGGGAAATGCAGTTAGTCATTTGCCATTAAGTATGATGCTACTTCTGGGATTTTTGTAAATGTTCTTTATCAGTTTGAGGATGTTCCTTTGTTAAAATGCTTCTCTGCATCTATGAAGAAAGACAATCATGACGTTTGTCCTTTATTCTGTCAACATATGCTATTACATTAATTGATTTTTTATGTTAAATCAACCATATATTCCTGCAATAAATAAATTGGTTTTCTAGCATTCTGCTAAGTATTTAGAAGACTGTGTTCCTGGGAGATGCTGAATTATAGTTTTCTTGTGATATCTTTATGATACTCTGGCTTTGGGATCAAATTAATTCTAGCCTCAGTGAGTGAGCTGGGAAGTGTTCTCTCCTCCTCTATTTTCTGGAAGATTTTGTGAAAAATCTTAAAGTGATTTTTTTTTTACTTCTTAAAATATTTGATAGATTTCACCAATAAAGCCCCCTGGGCCCTTTTGCCCCAGGTCTTTTTTGCTTATGAGCTATACCATACATCCCATGAAGACAGATTCTTATCTGTTATATCCTTATCGCCTTGCATTGTTGATTTTCAGTAGTGAATGAATCAATTAATATGCGCAGCGTGTGCAGCTGAAGTACCTTTGGAATATCATAAGAAACAGGAAATAAATTAATTTTAGACAGTTGTAAAAAAGCAACTTCATGTAGGATTTTCTTAGAGAAGTTATTTTTTAAAAACATTTATTTTTTTTAGTTGGACACAACACCTTTATTTTGTTTATTTTATTTTTATGTGGTGCTGAGGATCAAACCCAGGGCCTCGTACATGCTAAGCAAGTGCTCTACTGTTGAGCCACAACCCCAGCCAGAGAAATTTTTTTAATTCATTAAATTCTTAAAATAAATATATGATCTCCTACATTTCATTATAAAACCAAGTAGTATTAACTTTATTAAAGTTTACATTGGTAGGCTATTCAATAAACTATGTTAAGGTATAATAATGGGAATAGGCTCTCTACTAAATTGTTATCAAGTATTCAATGAAGATATTAACTTTAGAGGCACAAAAGGATATTTTACCAGTACATGGCTATAAACAGACATGATCAGATTGCCTCTATACATACAAGCTGCCCAATGGGAGAGATTGGATTCCAACTCTTGAGAGTTTTGACTATGATACTGAGAAAATACAGAGGTCCTAAGGCCTTAACCACCATTTTGGTTTTTGTTCATTCTTCATATAGTTAGTACAGAAGAAACCTCAAGCCTCCCACCCCAGTGAGAGCCTCCTGCAGCTGATGGCCAAGGGGGAGAGTGAGGCCCTCTCTCAGATCTTTGCCGACTTGCACCAGCGGAACCAGTTCAGGTACATGACTTAAATCAAGCAGACCATGATGTCCCTTCCTGTAGCCCAGATGATCTAGGCTGTGAGATCCAGAAACCAAGTCCCTGGGTTAATGAGCCCATGGAAGCTCAATAAAGTACTGCCACGCAGCACCCAGTCTTTATCCTTGGCTTAGCCTTTTCCAGGTGCCCTTTACCTTAGTCCCCTTCTCCACAGAGCAAGCAAGGTAGGCTTGACTTCAAGGAGGAGTCTTGCACAAAATGAAAAGTAACTCTTCCACAAAGAAAATGGGGAAGGTAATGCAGGTGGAAAAATTAAACTTAATTTCTGATCCAATTCCTGGTCCTATACAGAAATACCCAAAACACCGTTAGAAACACTTGTCAATCTATTGGGTTCATTTACCTGCTCACTTGGCTTCTGCTTGGACTTCATGGAGTTTCTGTGACTGTTTTCTAAATGTATAGTCTGTTCTGAAAAGTTCTATGATACAGGCCTATCTTCTTGGCTTGAAGAAATATTCCTCTATATACAGATGACTTCACATTGAATCTTATGTATTAAGAAAGATAGGAGTTGAAAACACTGAGACCAGAAGGTACAATGACCAGTAAGCAAGTGGGGTTCAAGGTCTCAGTGAATGTCATTGTGGCTTAAAAGAACAGAAGCTGAGTGTGGTGGTGCACACCTGTAATCCCAGCGGCTTGGGAGGCTGAGGCAAGAGGATCACGAGTTCAAAGCCAACCTCAGCAAAAGCAAGGTGCTAAGAAACTCAGTGAGACTGTCACTAAATAAAATACTGCCCCCCTCCAAAAAAAAAAAAAATAGGACTGGAGATGTAGATCAGTGGTCGAGTGCCCCTGAGTTCAATCCCTGGTACCACCCTACAAAAAAAGGAAAAAAAAAAAAAAAGAACAGAAGTAGATGAGTAAATATCACCAGGAGAAAAATGAATTGCCACAAAGAGATTTTTGGCACAATAGGAACCAGGTAGACCAGAAGCTCAGAGGCAAAGCAAATCACCATTTTTTTTTCTGAGTAATGGTAGCAAACTAAGAACCAGTTCAGCTCAGTGGAAGTAATCTCTTATAGTGATGAAGAGCTCATATACATCTGGGCCCAAGTCCCTGCTCCAAGAGTACCTGTGAGCATACTGTGTAACTTTTCTGGGCCTCAGTTTTCAGATCTGTAAAATGAAAATAATGCCAACTGCAGCCAAATATTGTCAGGATTAAATGAGCTTATACTACATCAAGTGCTTAGCATACTTCTGTGAAGGTTTGGAGGTGGATATAAATAAGTTCTCAGTAATTATTAATGTGTATTATGAGCTCTAACTTGGGTTGGAGGTAGAAAAGTATTAACACAAAAAGTCTTAACAGTTTTCCAGTGCTGAAGAACATATTCCAGGCATCATTACTGTTTGTATCATACAGAGATCTGTAATTAAGAAATTTCTGGATAAGATGTCACATTGCTGAGCTAAAGAGTGCCAGATTCTAATAGAACAAGATATTTCAAAAGGACAATTTCGATTGTCTCCAATTATTAAATCACTGATTTTTAAAATTACTACCTAAAAGATATTTTCTGCTCATATCTCATTGGCCACAACTCAGTCCCATGGCCACACCCAGCTGTAAGAGAGTCTGGAAAATGCATTTTTTTCTAGTAGCAAGCCTGAAAAAAAATTAGGTGCTCTGCTGCATTATTGGTATTATTTTCACTTTAGAGAACTGAAAACTGAGGCCCAGAAAAAAAACAAAAACAAAAAAAACTGAGGCCCATTATGCTCACAGGTACACTTGGAGCAGGGACTTGGGCTCAGATCTATATGAGCTCTTCATCACTATAAGAGATTGCTTCACTGAACTGGACTGAGTTACTAGGGTCCTACTGGCAATCTCTGACCCAGACAGCTTTTGATGTTTCTGGAAGGTCACAGGAGACTAAATCCTGAAGGAAGAATATTCAGTAACAAGATAAAGGGTGGAAGCTGTGTGCAGTGGCACAGGCCTGTAATCCCAGTGGCTCAGGAGGCTGAGACATGAGGATCGTGAGTTCAAAGCCAGTCTTGGCAATTTAGCAAGACCCTAAGCAGCTCAGGGGGCTGGGGATGTGGCCCAGTGGCTAAGCACCCCTGGATTTCAATCCAGGTACCAAAAAAAGAGAGAAAGAGTGGAAAAGGAACAAATAGGTGCAAGGGAATGAAAGAGGAAGAAGCTTGGTGAGTTTAGGGAAAGGGTAGGAAGGCCAGTGGGGAAAAAGAGCAGGTGGCAGTGGAAGAGAATAAGCAAAAGTGGGCAGGGGCTCAGCCAGGCAGGGCCTAGGAAGCCACAAGAAGGAATTTAGACTTTAAATGTAGTGGGAGCCTTAGCAGCATTTTAAATAGTCAAATGTCGTGATCCAATTTACATTTTGAAAAGGTCATGCTAGCTGCTGCTCTGACAGTTGATTTGAAGGGAGGGAGAAGAGACTTGGAGAGATCAGCTATGAAGCTATGGCAACCTAGTCTGTCCCAGCACACACAAAATGGGTCAGAGGGGTGCAAGAAAATGGGAGGCAGGGTGGGTTTTGCTTCACTTTGTCAGTACTTTGTATGGACATTTGGTTGCTTCAGTTTACCAGAAGAAACCCCTGAGTGGTGATTTTTCTCCTCATTCAGGCAGGTTCCAGTCTGGTTGCAATTAGTATCAGTTTGTGCACATTGGCAACAACATGCAGTGGCACAGTAAATAAAATAAATGGCTGAGACACAGGACCCAACAAATGGAGTCCCAGTCCCTTCTCCTCAGCAGAATCAGCAGCATGGGCTCTGCTTCTTGCCTCCCCCATCTCACCTCCCTCTTCCTTTTTTTTTTTTTTTTCCTTCTGGAAATTTTATATGCATTGCACCCACCTAACGTAGCCACAGCTGGTCTTTTTCATATTTACATTTCTCTAAAGCTTCTGCATCAGGAAAAATCTAACTAGAAATAAGTTTGAAATACGAGTTTGATGTTCTATTCTTTTTACTTTCAACCTTCATTTCCTTGACCTTGAAATGACTGGAGTTCCAGGAGCTGCAAAAAGATGAAGATCCACAAGATCTGCACAGGTAAGAGAGGGCCAAGGCACTGTGCCTGGGAGAACTGTCCCCACCGCAGGAATAGGAGTCAGATCCTCTGCTGCTCCCTCTCCTGACCTTCCTGGTGCCATGGGGACTGCCATCATCTTTCCCTGCCGCGGTAGAATTCCTCTGGGCAATTTGGCCACTATAGTCAATTTGGAACCAAGTTCTAACAACGGTTTAAAATATTTCTTATATTCTTTACTTCATTTCCAGGACCCATAGACCTTATCTTCACTCAGTCCTTTCCCCCAAGACTGCAGTAATTTCCCACTAGTTCATTCATTCATTTTTTTTTTTATTCAAAAGCATGTACTGAGTGTTTTGTAAGTGCCACTCATTGTTGATAGGCTTTGGTGTCACTGTGTAGAAAAACACAGTGGCCCTTTCAAGGACTTTATCCTGGAATGGAGTCAGATGGGTAAATACCAAAATTACAAAACCTCTCCTGTCAAAGGAGCACAAAGGAGGAGGTTTCTCATGCCCCCCAGGACTCTGGCCCAGGAGGCTCGGGGTCTGAGCCGAGTCATGGGGGATGATGAATTCCTGTGAGCTGGCTGAGCGGATGAGGGAAGGCATTCCCGGAAGAAGAGGCCATCTGTGTGGGCGGTCTTGACACATTCTGGAAGCAGCAGTTGATTGTCTATTTCCCGGTTCTAGTTTATCCCCAATCCACTTGCAGCCCTGCATAAACTTTCCCCATCCTACCTGTCTCTCACCTCCTCTGCCTCCTCATCACCTCCAGCCCACAGCTTCTGCAGCCAAACCTCAGCTATTCTTTCCCATAGCTCATTCATCCCCTCTCTGTTCCCCTCCCTCAAGGCTCACTTTAAATCCTACCTGTCCTAAACCGTATGTTCGCACCACCTTCCTGCCTAAACTTATCTGTCCTTGTCATAATCTCTCAACATTATTCTCTAGTTGTTTTGTAGGCTTATTTCTTCAACAAATACTAAACTGTATTCATGTCTCTGAATTATGCACACCAACAAGCACAGGCTGGGGACACAATAGGAGTTTAATAAATACCATATACCATACTACTAACAAATTATTCTCCATATTGGCTCAGGAGACAGACAGAACATCATGTTCTATTTCGGAATTTAGAGGAGGTTGCTCTTAAGGGAGCTCTAACTTTTGTCCAAACCAGGCCTACACACTGGTGGTATAAATGGGTAAAAGTCTGGGGACATTAATAGAATAAGTAGTTGACTTTTCTCTAACTCAGTTATAATCAAAATACTGTTGAGAGGCTGGGGTTATGGCTCAGTGGTGGAGTGATTGCCTAGCATGTGTGAGGCTCTGGGTTCAATTCCCAGCACCTCATATAAATGAAATAAAAACAAAGGTCCATCAACAACCAAATATATATATACATAAACAAACTGTTGGCAGCAGAACCTTAGTTTCAACCTTGAAGAGACAATAGGGAGTGGTGGGGACAGTGGCAACAAAACAAAAAAAAGGGGAAGGTTTCAATTAATTGTGGGTGTGCTAGAACACAGGTCTGCTAATGCCACATACTTTAAGTTTTTGAAAGACTTAAATATGGATTTAAAAAAAAAAAACATGGCATGTCCCTCCTCCATTAAAAAAATTAAAGCACAGTGTAGGTAACATCTAGTGGGCAAACATAACATAGCCACAGACCACATTCAGCCAGCTCACAGCCCCTGTCCTGAATGGCGAGCAGAGCTGCTGCTGACCCCCATTTCCTCCCAGTCTATGACTGCTTTCTCGTGTTCTGTGACATTCTATTTTTACACATGCATTCAAACACAAACACACACAGGTACGTACATACTTAAACATAACCCATAAAGTTAGGGTGGAAAAAAACAGAAACAGAGAATGTTTCTAATTTATTTCTGGGACTGAAGAGAACAGCTAGAATTTCAAGGTCACAGAATATCTGATGTCATGGGGGCCAGATATTTGAAGATGCTCCTAGGCTGATTTCAATGAACCATCCTGGGATGTCCTCTGGACCTCTTTTCTCACTGGACCAGGTAGTGGAAAGACACTTTGAAAGGGCAGTTATACTACAGCCTGTGGAACTTTTGGATAAAAAGAGAGAGTTGGAAAAAAACAGAGGCCCAAAGCTTACCTGCATAGCTAACCTTTTGGCTCTCCATCAGTGGGTGGCATGGCCTGAGACTGCGGTGTTTTCCAAAATTTAAAGCACAAACAGACCATGTAAGTCTTGTTAAAGTGCAGATTCTAATTCATTAGGTCTGGGGGCTGGAGAATAGTACATTTGAAACATGCTCCCAGATGATGCCAAGGTTTTAGTCACACGTTGACTAACCAGGGCTAAGGAGACCAAGAAAAGTTTCTGGCTTTGATCTGAGTTCAAGGCCATTGCCAATTCAGCTCGCCAATCTTCTGGGAGAAATGTACTCAGTTAACTTGTCCCGGCCACAGTGGGTCCCTCCTTTCAATGGGGCTGTCTTGCACACATGGTGTGATGGGAAAAATGTGAGCTCTGGAGCCAGGCTGCCTGGCTTTGAATTCTGACTCTGCCGCCTCATAATGTGACCATTGTTAAATTACTCAACCTCTCTGGACCTTACATTTCTTCTCCATAAAATGGGGATTATGGCATCACGGCCCTCACCAAGTTGTCATGAGGCTTAAATGAAGAAGAATGTGTGTAATTGTCTGGAACAGTGCCTGGCGCATAAGTAGTCCACCCCACCCCAATTACTGGCTGTAAGCTGTAAGAGTGCTCTGTAAGCCAGAGTGTAAATGCTTTTCTTTTCTTAACCTAGAGAAAGATACTGCCCGGGAAGACAGCATCCCTTGTACCCATGACCTCAGTTGGAGGGAATCATTCACTTGTGGAGAGTGGGAAAGAGAGAACCCCTCTGGGCCGCAGCCACTTACACTCCTCAGCACTCTGGCGGCTTCCACCTGGCCACAGCTGGCCCCATCCATAGGTATGGTAATGGGGTTGGTCTGGGGGTCTTCATGGGACAGCAGCTGGTGCTCAGCCTCAGGACTGGGTCCAGTGCTGAGGGTGATTTCAGAACACGTAGTGAGGTGGGGGTGAGGGGCGTGGTTGAGGTGACCCCTGCCCTCTTCTCTCCTGCTGCATACTTCCCTGCCTCCAATGGGGCTGAGCAAACCTCTGCAGTGTGGCTCCTCCAGAGCTCCCAGGGTTCTCACAAGTGACTGGAGACAAAGACATGTGTAGAATGATGCTGGAGCTTCTCTCCTTGCTCTGTGGGGAGGTGTAAGGGCTTCCTTGGGGAGTTATTAACCACCCTTCCCTTCAGCCAGTCTCTTTTCCTACAACTCTTGGCACTTTGTTTTCTTTTTCTTTTTCCCAGTAATGGGGATTCTACCCAGGGCCTTGAACATGCTAGGCAAGTGCTCTACCGCTGAGCTACACCCCCAGCCCTTTTAAAATTTTGAGACAGGGTCTTGTTAAGTTGCCAAGGCTGGCCTTGAACTTGCAAAACCCTCCTGCTTCAACCTCCTGAGGAGCTAGGATTAGAGCCCTGCTCTACCACACATCACTTGGTAGTCTCTGTACTGCCAGGGTTGGGGTACAGAGAGGGAGGCCTGGATCAGGCAAACTTCCCTGAGGTCCCACCTTCTTCTCTTCTTGCTCCAAGACTCCCCCATCCATCCTTCATTCATTTAATAAGCATCTGTGAAGGATCTCCTATGTGGTCTGAGACAGAGCATAGAGAAGGTGGGGTGATTTGTTTTCTAAAGTAAAAATCAATAATTCACCCCCTCCCCAACTAGGGCTTGAACCCAGGGGCACTCTACCATTGAGCTACATTCCCAGCCCTTTTCTTTTTTTTCCTTTAATTTTTATTTTTGGTACTGGTGATTGAACCCAGGGGCACTTAACCACTGAGCCATATCCTCCCCAGCCATTTTTTATATGTTATTTAGAAACAGGATTTTGCTAGGTTGCTGAGGCTGGCTTTGAACTCACTATTCTCCTGCCTCAGACTCCCAAACCACTGGAATCACAGACCTGGCTCATTTTTTATTTTGAGACAATGTCTCGCTAAATTGCTGAGGCTGGCCTCAAACTTGCCGTCCTTCTGTCTCAATCTCCCAAGTAGCTGGGATTACAGGTGCATGCTACAATACTCGGCATGAACCACTAATGCTTACAAGAGACCATTAATAATTGACAGTTTAAAAAATTAACCTGGGTACAGTAGTCCCCCTCTTCTTTACTTTCTGAGGTTTCAGTTACCTAGACAACTTCAATCTAAAAATATTAAATTGAAAATTCCACATTTTGAGAGAGAGAGAGAGAGAGAGAGAGAGAAGTACATTCTACATTTGCATAATTTTTGTTATGTTATTATAATTGTTCTTTTTAATGATAGTTATTATTGTTAATTTCTTACCATGCCTAACCTGTAAATTAAGCTTTATCACAGATATATACCTACAGGTAAAACAGAATATTTGCAGGTTTTGGTACTATCTGCCATTTCAGGCATCCTTGCCCCACAAATATAAGGGGAGACTATTGTCTCTATGTGCCTATAAAAGAACTTTGAGTGATTTATATGCTATCAAACACTTTTCTCTCTTACACTCACAGGAAACTCTATTTGACTTACACGAGGGCAAGTCTGTGCAACCCTAACCAACACTGCTGGGCAGCATTCAGCTCCAGGGACTCTATCTGGACAGAGGGGAAGAGAAAGCAGCAACTAAGAGAAAACTAGGGTTACCATCATCATGTGGTGACAGCAGAGCCTTTCCTCATTCCAGATGTGCTTACCTCTGCATCCTCAGTACCACACACAAGCACAGCCCAATCCCATCCCAAGGGCCGTGAGTGGGCACAGAAAGACCTGCACTCTGAATGGCTGGAGCCAAGAGATGGAGAAGCAATGTGAGGAGCAGAAGCAGAGGGGAGGCTGAAGAGAGCCAAGTGGAGATGAAGAGAGAGGTGGCAGGAGGGAGTCAAAGAAGATAAGAGATATAAAGAGAAGAGGTAACAGAAGGAAGCAGAAGAGACTTGGGAGAAGAGATGAAGAGGACAAGAGAAGAAGTACATCACTGAGAGATGCCTCACAAAAGTAAAGCCATAAACCAAAAAAAAAAAAAAAAAAGTATGTTTTCTTCTCTGCTCAGATCACTCTGAACAGTGCAAGGGACCCTCCTTCAAATTCCCCTTTCACCAGTTTTGCTTTATGGTCTTTCTCTTCTGATTCAAGCTATATCCCTGCTTCCTTAGCCTGTTCTTAACCTGGCCTTGCTAGCACAGCCCTGGTGTGTCAGACTTGGGTTTGAGGTTGAGGAATGCTTCCTACAGAAGGTTGTAAGATGTGTGTAAAGTAGAGTGAATTTCTCTTTGGTTTTCAAACTTCCTAGGTTTGCTGTTGTGTCAGTCCTGCAAACACTGTCTAATTTCTTTTGTGTATGACATTCCCTTGAAATGCTGACATACTGTGCTAGTGCTTATTAAAGTAATGATTCCAAAGAGAGATGATGACAGACTCAAAGTACATGTTCACAAGTTATAGATCAAGAGGGCTTCTAAAAAGTGTCCTGTCCGATGGCCCATGGACTGGTCTCTTTTTATTTGTGCAATATTTTGCATTCAATAAAGTCCAGACTATGAGGATTGCAGAACAGCCAACTAACTTCCAATTGGAAGGTTTCTTGGATGTTTTTGCTCTGGTTTAAGATATTCCAAAAGGGTCTTTGTCTTCATCAAATGGGGCTTTAGACTGAAATGGTTGGAGAACTTAAAAAAATAAGCTCTTGAATCACTGTCCTCCCAAGGATGAATTACATCCTAACTCTTGGTGATTTCAATGTCCACATAGATGACCCTTCCATACTCTGGTCGCCATTCTGTGAGCTTCTATCCTCCACCCTTCTCAGCCACTGACTCCTCTGATTTCAACTAGATTTTTCCATTAAAACCTGCATCCTACCCCATTACTCCCACTGTCCTGCTATGCCACCTCCTATCTTTTCCTCTGAGTTCGAGTTTCCTTCAACCCCACCAATCCTACAACCTGTCGCTCCTACCAGGCATCTCAACAAGTCCAAACTAATCTTTCAATGTTATCATACAAAACTTAATCTCCCCCAATTTTCCCCCATCTAGTAAATGGCAGCTTCATTTTTTTAGTTGCCCAAAACCTTTCAGTTTATCTTTGACTTTTCTCTCCACCCTATTTCTAACCCATCAGGAAATCCTTTCAAAATCTATTCGGAATTTGACCCCTCTCACTCCTTTCACTGAACCACCTGGACAAAACTTCCACCATCACTCACCTGCACTATCAAAAAATAATTTTCCTCAATGCCCTCCCTGCTTCTAACCTTACCCTTTCCAGTCTACTGTAATTCTTTTAAAATCTTAGATCATGTCCCTTCTCTGCTCAAAACCTTGTCGACGTCTTCCCACCTATATTAGCAGAATGCTGGCTCCATAAGAGAGAAACCCCCATACATAAATGGCCTAAACCAACTAATTTCTACTTCTTATCCACAAAAAGTCCAAAATGATTGCTTCCGGTCAATGAGTGGCTCTTTAATAGGAACTTGGATTCCTTCCATCCTGTGGTTTAAAGGGTTTATAGAAATAGGACTTAGAAAACTGTACATGGCTCACTGATGGCCAGTAATGGAAGGTAGTGGACATCAGTTCTGTCAACCTTCCTTGGTCAGAGATCAGTCATTTGACCACCAGGTAAAGGAGCCTGGAAATGTGGTCAAGTAAGATTCACAGGATGACAAGAAAAGAATTTGGTAAATAGCCAGGATCTGCCACACCATCTCAGATTAAGGCCCTAAGTGTGGCTCTCTCCCCCTCCCCCCAATCCCTGCTACCTGGCCGACCTCATACCCTCCTCCTACTGCCCTCCAGCTGCCTGGCTTCCGGCTGCTCCTCAAATGTTGCAAATATGCTCCCAGCTCCACACCTTTGCCTTTGCTGTTCACTTTTCTCAGAATGTTCTTAACCACCATCAGATGTTCACTCAGGTGTTAACACCTGAGCCCTCCCTGGCTGTCCTTTCTAAGATGGCAACACCACTCCCAATAGTCCCAACACTCCTCATTCTCCTTCTCTGCTTCATTTCTGCCTTAGCACTCATCACCACCTCTTATATATGTTTCTTTTTAAATATTTTTAAGGTACTGGGGATTAAACAAGTGGTACTCTACCACAGAGCACATCAACAGCCCTTTATATTTTGTTTTTTAATTTTGAGGCAGGGTCTGCTAAATTGCCCAGGCTGGCTTCAAACTTGCAATTCTCTTGCCTTACACTTCCAGTCGATGGGATTACAGGCATGTGCCACAAGTCTTGAGTTGTTTTTATATCTCGTTCAGTATCTGTTTCACCTGCCCTTACAGACCAGAATATAAGCAGCATGACAGAGTTTAATCCATTTTGTTCACTGCTGTATTGCCAGTGAGTGGAACAGTGACACACAGGAAACACTCAATACATCCATTTGAGGAGTGCGGGTTCAGTAGCAGCACATGAACAGAGCTAGGTTGCTCGGCGGGGAACATCACCTTTCTGCAATCAACATCATGCCTTTAGCAACAGTCCTTCGATGCTGCGCTCAGAGAAGGAATCCAGGGCTACAGGAGTACAAGTGAATAAGCAGCACTATATAGCAAAATGTGACAGCGCAATTGATGGCGACATTTCTTTTGTGTATCATCTCACCGGTCCTCAAATCCTGCTACCTACTTTCTAACTCTGCTACCTACTTTCTAACTCTGAGGCTCCCATGATGCCTAATCTGCTTCATTCTCCTCAGAATGCTCATCTGTTCTTTTGGCTCCATCAGCCCAGTTCTCCTCCTTAAGTATCTCTTCCAACCTATGGGCTCTTTCTTTTTAGATGTTCTTTCATAACCTAGACTCACCAAGTCTTGGAATTCACTCATTTCCCTCTACCTCCATGTGTCTAGCTCATTCTCCCCATCTCCCATGATTAAAACTTTTAATTTTTGAATCCCTTCTTCATTTCTTTCATCCAAGTGATCACTAAGTCCAGGACTTGTTATTTCTATCTTTAATTTTTTTTTGTTTTTAATTGATAAATACAAATTGTATTTAAAATCTCTCTGGCATTGCCGGGTACAGTGGCACATGCCTCTGATCCCAGCTACTGGGGAGGCTGAGGCAGGAGGATCATGAGTTCAAAGTCAACCTCAGCAACTTAGCATGGCACTTAGAGACTCAGGGAGACCCTGTCTTTAAATAAAATACATAAAAGGGATGGGGATGTTGCTTAGCAGTTAAGAGCCCCTGGGTTCAAATCCATATATATATATATATATATATATATATATATATATATATATATATATATTTGGCATAAAGGGTTCATTTCTGTTTCCTTTTCCTTGCCAGGACAAGTCCCTATCCACAGGGAATGTCAGGGTTTGAGGGCTGTATCTCTAGCAGAATCTCACTACGTTTAGCCTTCACTATGACACTTCCAGAATGGTGGTTCTCCCTCTTGGCTCTAGTTTCTTGAGGGCTGGGATGATGTCCCCTTCATTATGCATCCACCAGTACCTAGCACAGTACCTGACTTCAGGTGGCATTTTTTAAAAGTTTTTGAAGTAATACCTCCTGTTTTATAGTCAATCCCTATTTGAAGATGTGCCTGTCTGAGAGAACCACTCTCAATCTCATTCCACAGGGCCCCCACATAGGCACAAGTTTAGAAAACTTCCAAAGGAGACTCACAATTCCCATTGCCTTCAGCTTAGTGTCCTCAGACTATCAAGACCTTCCATGCCCTATCCAAACTTGCCTATGTTTTTCTGCATGGCTTCCTTTCTTAACCTTTCTCAGCCCCTACCTGGCCTGAGGATTTACCCTCTGCTCTGCTTCCCCACTTGCTTTTATTTTTGCTACTCCTTTTGCTGACTAGTTCATTTGGGATTTTCTTAGTCTAGCCTGAGTCACACCTTCCTATGAATCCCTCTCCGGCGACCACCAAGGGTCACTGGCACTTCTTTATTTGAATACCCAGAGCATTAGTTGTCAGTCTTTCATCTTGGCACTTTAAACTAACTTGCTTTGCATTTAAGTCTTTCATGACTTGTCTCAACTGCATTTTAAACTATAGAGGCTTTATGTTAAGAATTTAGGTTTGCAGTCCAGTAGTGTTGAAAATAGAGTACCCTTCATCGGTATTTGTTTCAATTCATGACACTAAAATGAACAAGTGAGTTATATGCTGTGTTTCTCTTTAACCAGGGATACGCAATGAAGTCCACTTCTTCAGTTTATTTATATTACTGAGCAATTTCTCGGACCTGGGCAGTAAGCTCAGGGCTGGAAATTACAAAGAATAGGCAGATCTCTACTCTGGAAGTTAGCCGGGGAACTTAGTCTGTTTCCCAGAGTAAGTTGTTATAGATAAGCAATGTTAATACAATAAAATTTGGTAGTGTACTGAAGATACAAAGTGCTATGAAGGCAAATAAAATAAGTGTTATTATGCTTAGTGGGGTCAGGAAAGGTTTCTAGAGCTAACATCTGAACTGGGACTTCTACTGGCCTTCACAAACAGAAATTAAGAAAATGAATTTATTCCAGGCAAAGGAAGACGCTTGGTGAACAAAGATCACAGAAATGTGAAAGGACAAGTAGTTAAGGAAAGACTAGACGATGGTGGCCAGAGCACTATAAGTGAAGGGGCGTGGTGGGAGACAAAGCTAAAAGATACACGATAGCCAGAGAGAAGAGCTTCCACTAGATGCCAAGTCTGGGCAGCAAGGTTTAAGGGTAAGAGATTGAGACTGTTTACCATTGTAATGGCGGTGACCGTAAAAAACGGATTTACGGTCTTGTGGGCATGAAGATTACTAGCAGGGTAATTCTAGACATCCTGTGGAGGCAGAGTCACGCGCTATGAATGGGGACGTGGCGTCCGGACAGCCGCGCCCACACGCCGCCCAAGCACCAGGCTGGGGCCTGCAGCAGGCCCAGGGACTAGACTTGGGCGGGAATCAGCTCCACGCAACTCGGCGCGCTCGCGGGGACGTGGCGCTTTCCAGCCTATCCGGGTTACGCAATTGTGGAGCCAATGGCTACTCCGGAAAGCTCTGCGACGACGGGGGGCTTGTTGATGATTGGTTGGGAAGCCGCGGCGAGACGGATGAGGGCGGGGCGCAGACTCGCTTCCGGTTGGGCGGTGCTTGCGCGTGTGAGCTGAGCCGGTGGGTGAACCGCGGCCACCGTGACTTGGGCTGTGAGGCTGCGAGAAAGGTAGGTATCGTGGTGCTCAAGCCTTCTGCCGCCGCCGTGTCCTTATTCGCTTTCTTTCTGTCCTGGAGCCTTGCTCCTGGAGAGGCGTGGGCTTTTTTTTCATTCTTAGCTCGTGTCTCTGCTGGTGCCGGAATCCGGGCCTGAGCCTTTCCACGATTCCAGGGCCCGAGGCGCTCAGCCTGGGATGGAACTCCCAGCTAGCATTCCCGCACTCTCTGAGTGCTGC